AAACCATACATTGTGATTATGTTAGCTTTGTAGTAAGTTTTGATATTGGGAAGTGTGAATCCTCCAAATCTGTTCTTGTTTTTCAAGATTGATTTGACAATTTGGTATCCTTTGAAATTCAGTATAAATTTGGCGATGGATTTTTCTACTTTGGTAAGCAATAGTTTTATAGGAATTGCATTGAATTTGTATATTGATTTGGACAGAATTGTCATTTTAATAATATTAAGTTTTCCAGTCCATGAGCAAAGGATATCTTTTCCATTTACTTAGACCTTCTTTCTGCAGTTTTTCTTTCAGCAATGTTTTGTGATTTTTCAGTGTACAAGTCTTGTGCCTTCTTGATTAAATTTATTTCTAAGTATTTTTTATGCCATATTAAACAGAATTCTTAATTTCCCTTTTGGAAATTGTTAGAAGTTTGTTGCTAGTATAGAGAAATGTACACTACACTTTTAATACATTTTGTGTGTTGAATTAATATCCAGCAGCTTGGCAGAATTTTATTTGTCTCCTGTAGTTTTTTTTGGTGTGGTTTCTTTTGGGTTTTCTACATATTAGATCATGTTATCTATGAACCAAGATGATTTTACTTCTTCCTTTCCGATTTGGATGCCTTATATTCCTTTTTCCTGCTTTAGCTAGTTCTTCCAGTACTAAGTTCAATAGAAGTAGAAAAGGTGGGCATTCTTGTCTTGCTCCTGAATTTAGGGGGAAAGCTTTAGTCTTTCACTATTGAGTATAATGTTAGCTGTGGGTTTTTCATAAATAGCTTTTCTCATGTTGAGGAAGTTCCTATCTAGTTCTAATTTGTATTATTCTCTTATGTGGGGGATTTATAGAATCTAGTGTTAGCTTGTTTTCAAGGCTAACTTAGAATAATTTCTTTTTTTTTCTTGATCGGCCTGCCATGGGTTTATCAGTTTAATTAGTCTTTTCAGAGAGAGAAATTTTGGCTTTTTTGCTATTTCTCATATCTTTATTATTTCTTTCTTTTTCCTATGGAATTGGGTTTAGGTAGATTCGCCCCCCCCTCCCGCCCAATCTTCTTGAGGTTAATGCTTATCTCATTTTCTCACTCTGTCTTTTCTAATATATGAGCTTAAAAAGATTTTTAAATTTGTTTTTAAGCAAGGCTTAAGCTGTATCCTGCACTGCTGCTATATAGTGATAGTCCATTACTTATTTCAAAGTATTTTTAAAATTCCCTGAGAATTATTTTTTTGTTTTCATTGGTTTTTAAATTTCCAAACACATCAGTATTTTTACTGGTTTCTGCATTGCATTCAGAGTATATATCCTGATTGACCTTTGACACTTTTTTTGAAACTTGTGTATGATTATATAACTTCGTATATGATGGGATTTTATAAATGCTTTATGTGTGCCTAAAAAAATGTCTCCTGCAGTTCTGTGGCAAAGTTAGTATTTGCTTAGTGTATTTTTATTTATTTACTATTTTAAAAGATTTATTTATTTTAGAGAGAGAGAAAGAGAAGAGAGTGCATGTGACGGGGGAGGGGCAGAGGGAGAGTTAGAATCTCAAGCAGACTCCCTGCTGAGCACAGAGCCTGACACCGGGCTTGATTCCAGGACCCTGAGATCATTACCTGAGCCAAAATCAAGAGTTGGACACTTAAACGACTGAGCCACCCAGGAGTCCCTTAGTGTATCATTTTTTAGCCTTTTACCCTCAATCATTCTGTATTCCTGTATTTTTGATATATTTCTTACAAGTTGTAAATAGTTTTTTAAAATTCCAATATGATGATGTTTGTCTTTCATATGGATCATTTAGGTATTTAAGGCAATTGCTGATGTATTTTTATTTAAATTGACCACTTCTCAGTGTTTTTTATTTTTTCGGCCTGTTCTCTGTTCTTCTACATTCATCTTTATTTGGGCTGATACGTTTTTTATTATTTAACACCCCAGCCCCTCCCCACTTTTTGGCTTAGAAGTTACACACATTTTTAGTATATATTTAATCCATATAAGTAGTGTATATGTTATACACATTTTTAATAGTAGTTAGAATATTAAAACATCCATTTTTGACTTACCAAAATCTAATATTATTTAGTATTTTTATTCTCTCGTAAGCAATGCAAGGACCTTAGATCCCTTTAACTTTATTTAGCCTCTTCTGATTTAAAATTATCATGTTTTTATTGTGTTTTACAATTTTACACATACACATTTTTAACATACAAGACATAGTATTGTTATTATATATAGCCAGTATTTAGATTTTTTCACATACTTAATATTTCATTTTTTTCTATGTCTTTCATTTTTTATCTATCATCATTTTTCTCCTACCTGAAGAATAGCCCTTAATATTTTCCTTAATGCATCTCTGTGGTTATGAATTACATTTTTGTGTGTCTGAAAATGTCTTATTTCTTCTCCATTTTAGAAAAATACTTTCGGGAGGAATTTTCTTTAAAAATATTATTCCATTGTAATTCAGCTTATATTATTTCTGTTGAAGTCAGCTGGAAGTATAGTTATTGTTCCATTAAAGCTAATCAATTTTTGTATTTCCTTTTAGTTTGTTTTTGAGATACTTTTTTGTTTTTATCTTACACAAATTTTACAAGTGCATAGAAATGTGTTTGTTTTTATTTATCTTCCTTGGGGTTAGCAGGACTCTATTTTTATTTATTTTTTCTAGCTTTATTTAGCTATAATTGACATATAACATTGTGTAAGCTTAAGATGTACAGTATGATGATTTGGTACATGTATATATTGCAAAATAATTACCACAATGAGGTTAGTTGGTTAGTTAACAAATCCATCATCTCATATAATTACCTGTGTGTGTGTGTGTGTGTGTGTATGTTGGGTAGGTAAGAACATTTAAGATCTACTCTCAGCAACTTTCAAAGCAGGACTTTTTAAAAAATCTGTGGCTTGATACCTTTTGTCAGTTCTGGAAATTTTTCAGTCAGTCAGTATTTCTTCAAATATTGTCTGTGTCCTATTATCTCTTCTATTTTTGGGACTCCTTCCACCTGTGTCAGACCTTCTCTCTATCCTGTAAGTCTTTTCACCTTCTCATTTATGTTTTCTAAGCTTTTGCTCCTCAGTTTTTCATTCTAGATATTGTTTAGTAATTCTTTTTTCATCTGAGTCTAGTCTGCTAGTAAACCTATTCATTGAATTCTTATAATTTTAATTACTATATTTAACAGTTCTAATCTTTGTTTTTAAAAATAGTTTTCAATACTCTGCTGAAATACTCAGTGTCTTATCTTTTCAAACATAAGTAAGTATGGTTATTTTATTTTATTTATTTTATTTTTTTTGAGGGCAGGAAGATGAAATTTTATTTTATTTATTTTTTTAAATTTTATTTTATTATGTTATGTTAGTCACCATACAATACATCATTAGTTTTTGATGTAGTGATCTACAATTCATTGTTTTCGTATAACAAGTATGGTTATTTTAAAACCTGTGTCTTATAACTCTAATATCTGGAGACTCTGTGGATCTCTTTCTGTTGTGGGTTATTTCTGGTAGTTTTTTTAGTCATGTTATCTAGTCTCATATGCCATTATGTACTGGACATTATATTTAAAAAATTATTTCTTGAATCCATTTGAGGCCTAAGATATTATTCTCCAGAGATTAGAGGAGGGAGGGTTGGTCTTCTAGGTAATTGGGGTAAGTAACTATCTGGGCTCATCTCAGTCCAGTTTTATTGACTGAGATATTTCATGCTAAGCTATAATCTGTAAAAATAAACAGCACTGCATAGTTAATCTTCCTCTTGGGATTTTTCCTGTTGGGATCCTAACCCAAAGTGTGGGGGTTTTATGGCTATCCCCTTCTCTTCTGGTGGGCTCTGGACTCCAGGTCTGGGTCCCCCCTCTCCCCTACCCAAGGCTTTGAAAAGTAGCATTTTTTCTTTTTTTGTTTTTTTGGAGGCTTTCCTTACTGACAGTTACCATCAGGGAAGAATAGCTTCAGATACATAGCATTGCTCATCTGGACATCTCTATTCACTTAGCCTTCCTCAGATTCTGGCCGCATAATTCTTTAGCATCATGTTATTTCTGATACTTTTAAGATTTATTCATCTTTAAGTGTTTTATCTGCTTCTTTTAGTTGTCCTCAATGGGAGGGCTAGATGAATTTCCAGATTTGCCATTCATGGAAGTAGAAACTCTTTACAGATTTGTTTTTGCTTTGCATTGGTAACGGCATTTAAAAAAAAAAAGATTCTATTTATTTATTTTAGAGAGAGAGAGAGAAAGGGCGCATGCGTGTGTGCAAGTAAGGGGGGAGGGAGAGGGAGAAAGAGAGAGAATCCCAAGCAGACTCCATGCTGAGCATGGGGCTCAATCCCACAACTCTGAGATCATGACCTGAGCAGAAACCAAGAGTCGGATGCTTCACGGACTAAGCCACCCAGGCGCCGCTGTAACAGCATTTTTAATAAGAATGTTTTTTGTTAGGACTGTTATTGAACTCTACATCTCCCCCACTTCGGTTTCTGTGTACCCTTCCATCTGGAAATACGTCACTCTGTTGTTACTTGAGAGTCAAGTAGAATAAATCATAACATTATATGAACTTCATTTCATAAATTGGTATAAAATACATTGGGATTTTTGAAGATGTTTTAGGTATTTATTAGTTCCATTTATTTATTTATTTATTTATTTGAGAGTGAGCAAGCCAGCCCTGGGTAAGGGGGGTTGGAGGAGGGATAGAAGGAGAGGGAGAGAGGGAATCTTAAGCAGGCCCCACACCCAGCATGGAGCCTGACGTGGGGCTTGATCTCACGATCCTGAGACCACAACCTGAGCTGAAATCAAGACTCAGATACTTTACCGACTGAGCCACCCAGGCTATTAGTTTCTTTTAATTTGAAAACTTACTATTTTCTTGAAGCAGGAAGCTCATCACTAGATAGTATTCTTTATTTCTTGGTTGGGAAGGTTTTGCCCTACACGTATTAACACTGTTCCACCACCATTAAATAGGACAGTCTGCAATATTTTGTGGCCGTTCTGGAAAACAGCTGAAGCGTTGTCACAGCACTCAGCCAGGCATGCTTCTGGATAGCTGGTCCCGGATGGTAAAGAGCCTAAATGTGTCATCTTCTGTGAACCAGGCTTCTCGTCTTATTGATGGCAGTGAGCCCTGCTGGCAGTCATCTGGTTCACAAGGAAAGGTAGTGTGCCATGGGGACACTTCCAGAAATGCTTTTATTTAGATGGCTTTACCTTTTAAGCTTCAAAATGAACTTTGAAAAACCTACTAAGTTATACTGGGATAGCACCTGTCAGTACTGATTTTACATTTTAGTTCATAATTATTTTTAAAGCTACTGAGTAATAAACCATCCAGTTTTTATTGTTAGAGATTTTAAATGATGTATGTAATAGATTTTATCTAACTGACCAATTGATAGAGAGTGTAATAGGGTGCTGTTATTTTTGTTACTCTCCCACATAAAATGTGTGAGTTCAGATTCTGCTTCTGGTGAGCAGTTTTTCTAATATATCTGAACAAATAGGTATTGCCCTTTGGAATGTTATCATAATTGCACTCAAGTGTGGGTGCCCATCATCTGAACTTGTGGTCAGACTTGGAGAGAGGGGCTATTTTTCCATCTTGACTCCAGTATTTTCTATTACCCACTCCTTGATGGGTATAAAGGGGCCACCCTAGGTCAGGAGCCTGTAAACAAATCATTTCTGGGGTTTAGAGTGAGACTTTCTTTTAATAAACAAGTAAGTAGTGGAATAGAATACTCCTCTCTCTCAGGCCGTATCATATATTTGGATAATCTCATGTAGATCCAAGCTTTAGTGACACTGTTTTAATAGCTAAAATATGGCTGAATTTTATTAACTGAGAATACATTTTTTTTTTTTTTTTAAGCATTGGATTCGTTTGGAGATTTTCCCAGATGTTCTTGTTCATAGATTAAAAATGATAGTTGATCCCGCTGACAGTAGCTACATGCCTTCCCTGGTAGTGGTGTCAGGTAATTGAATTAGTTTACTCTGTATCTTCTCTCATATGATAAAAACTCCTTTGTCTGATTCCTTTATCTCCCTTCTTCCCCCTAGGTGGAAATTCCCTAAATAATCTAATTGAACTAAAGACAATCAATATTAACCCCACTGACACCACAGTGTCCCTTCTGAATGACTGCACAGAGGTAAGTGGAAATGACTCTTTTGGCTGTCTCTGTATTAACATTGAGCCTATTTTTCCCCCTGAATTAAGTAATTGTATTTTAAAATTTGACAGGTATACAACTTGAATTTGCTATTTATCAGATCAGCTTGGAAAGGAAACAAAATAAGTTTCATTCTCACTCTCTTAGGTGAGAAGTAAGGGTAAAGCTCCTAGCAAAAGTTGTTACTAGGCACTTCAGATTGCTCTTTATATCCAGCACAGGATTGTTTTCATTATGTATCTATTAATGTGTGATGGTTTTTTTCTAACTGCACATATGACACTGAAATTGCTTTTTTGTTTTCATACCTGTTGGCATCAAGTGCTGAGCTGTTTTGATGGGTTATAAGGTAATTTTCAAAATGAATACAGGTTTTTTTATAAATCTTTTTTTTTTAAAGATTTTATTTATTTATT